AATAATTCATAGACCGTTTATAGTGAATTACAGTATATTCAAAGATGCTAGGTGGTGGTAAGCAACATTGTAGTGAGGAATGAAACGAGGGGAGAAACAGAAGGGTGATGCTGTTTCTGTACTCTGTTACTCTAACTGCTGAGGCACCTTATTCAATCATATCATCATATTTRTCTGATTGACTCTGATTCACACTTTTATAAATCAGACTTATGTAGGAATGTTAAATCTGACAGGAAATTTGGCAGGAATGTAGATGTGTCCAACATGCACTGCACCAGCCAACGGTTTTACAATAGACCCCAAATTTTAGGAGGGGGCTCCATCTGAAAAGTAGTTGTCTAAAAATACAAAAATGCTCATAACTTAAAAACTATTCAACATAGGAAAATCAGACTTCTTTCTTTTCCCTTTTCTTTTTTTTTTGTTTACCTCTGATTAGGGCTAATGAGCATACCCCACCCACTCCGGATGGGGGTCTAGCTCTATCACTGAGCCTGGATTGTCGACTCGGTCTTCTGCATAAAATAAAATAAGCTACATTTTTTTCTTTTTCAGTTGGGCTGGCCCACCAAATCTGAGACCTCTAGTCAGTTTCAGGAGGAAAGCTGAACTCCAGTTTGTTTCTTTCTAGTCAAAAATAGTAATATTTACAAGGTCATGTGCCAAGAAGCATTTCCTTTGGTTAAAAATAGATCTTTTATCGACACGGCCGTGCTGAGCACAGCTGATCACTTGCTGTGTGAAAACATAAAGAAAATCAGTCAGTTAACGTCTCAAACACTATGTGATTAAAATGTCAATTCATATCATCATTTCAGGTTCATCTGGTGTGATCAYTGTGACAACTGAATAAAACATTAAAAAAGGAAAAATCATGTYACAAGATGTAATGATTCTTTTCTTTTTTATYACTAYTCACAAAAATTWAAACTGACTGACGTGTCAGCTTGATCTGTGTGACAAAGACAGATTAATGAAATGTTAGGTCAGAGTTTGACTCTAAGAAAGCTTTTACAGAACAGTTCATTTCAGTTAGGAGATGTGACCTGTAGGGTCAAGAGGTCAGGTTGGAAGAGAAGACCTTCATGCTACAACCTGAAAAGACAGACTGGCATGAAAAACTAACTAAATAAAAATTATTTAATACAAACAAAACAAAAAGTCTAACAAGACATCAAAACTAACAAAGAACTAAGAAACAGGAAACATCAGGAAAAAAGAAACATAAACAATCCCAGCTATAAAACACAAACTAACAATAAAACACTTATCCTGACATTCATGTGTCAAAAACAGATAAAAAAATTGATAAAGATCCAACCCCCTCACACAACCACAGCGTTGTTCAAAGTGTTGCACACAAACAACCAGAGCAGGTTTGTAGAAGTCACAGAGTTCCTACCTGATGCTTTCTGAACGTGTGCACCAGAGTGCCGTTGACACAGATGACGGCGAG